TATAGAATATCTTGTGAGATGAATTTCTAAGAGAAATGTCAGAAAATCCAAAGCCTCTAGGAAAAAAATGGATCTCAAGTAAATTCTTAAAAATCATGTTCTAAATGTGATTTAAGGCTGTCTACTATAAATCTCTGCCTTGTCACCATTGGACTAAATATGGACAACTCTGAGAGTAATAATAAGTATTTAATGCAAGCATGCAAATCACTTGTTTAAAATAGTTGTAGTTTTCTGACTTGCTTGCATTTCATTTTATCAGGGGAAAACCTCCAAAATTGTTTATTTTGTAATTGAAGAACAGTGTGCTTATGGGCATGTCCATATGAGGGAATTTCCTATGCTCTTAAGAATTAGCCATCCTGCCGGGCGTTGGTGGTGCACGCCTTTAATCCCAGCACTCGGGAGTCAGAGGCAGGCAGATCTCTGTGAGTTCAAGGCCAGCCTGGTCTCCAGAGCGAGTGCCAGGATAGGCTCCAAAGCTACAGAGAGAAACCCTGTCTCGAAAAAACAACAACAACAACAACAAAGAATTAGCCATCCTTTAAATAAGACCTTATGATAAGGCTAGCTTCACATTAAGTTGTTACTGTCCCATTCAAGGCAAACCTCAGGCCAGAGCTTTGGGTACCGACTTCAATCACGTTGAGGATTTCAAGCAATATCTTCAATCAAGTGAATCCCACCTAGCATGGACTGGATACAATCCATTCAAGACTTTCCCTATACTAACATTTTCTTCCTACAGGACCCCACAAGGCTGTCGTTGTCCCATTTCATCAGGAAGTAACTTGGAGGATGCTACGCCCCTTTCCCCCATTGTTGTCACTTAGGATAGTGTATATACCTAGTTAGGGATAGCTTCCTATTGTTTATGGTTGGGATTGGAAGGAGGTGTTCAGGCTTAGATACCTCTCTCAGATGACTTTAGGGTTTAGTTAAGATAGATAGTTAGGATGTGACATAAGCAGATTGTTGTATCTTCTTATATTTTACCTTTATGATTGTTAATTTTGGATACTTTACACTGTTAAGTTTTAATCCTCTTTTAGACTAAAAGGGGAATTGTAGGAGAAGCTGAAGCCATGCCTACTTATATATACAATATAATATGAATTATAATGAACATAACATAGAAAACGATTTTATATATACATTTTAGGAGATATGTATTTGTTTTCATATTTGGAGAAAATGCAGAGTAATGCTGATGTTTTTTATATATAAAATATTCTTAACATAAAGCCTGAAACATCTTTTGAATATTGGATAAATTAGAAATGAACAAGTTCATTTTGTTTACTGTATTCATACTCCAATGTTTCTCACTAGAAGAATACCGATGGAAGTTTATAGGAAATCACAAGGGAATTGAATTTAGAGCACTCTTCCCTTCCCAGTTTACCAGTAGAAAGTCTGAGCATCAAGGGGGTGATGCAGGTTCCACCCTCTGCCACCAAATGGAGTAAAACAAAAATAAAATTGATTTAAATAGGCCCTGGAAAAGTTTTACAATATCCCTATATTTTAGGGTTGTATAAAATAAAAGGCATAATATTAGTTTTGCCAATAAAAGTATGCATGTGTACAAAATCATTTTCTATTATAAACTATTATAGGAGCCTACATCATAGTCATTCTGTATTACAGCTCTTTCTTTTAAGGAATTGGCAGTTTTCTAAGGTGCAATTAGGTCTGACTTAAGCTAACGATAATGTTTTAAAACAATCGTTCAAATAGTTAAGGAATAAAATTATAATTAACATTTAGCTGGATTTAATTAAGAAAGTATACATACATATATACATATTAGACAGCCTTCGGTTTTCTCTAATCTTTTAATCACATTTTAACCAACATATTAGACCAAACAGAAGTCAGCATTACCATGATGATGAAGTCTGGCATAAGGAAAATTTTATTCATTCTTTCATAAAGAAAAAATAAGGGGGAATAGGATATAGGAATGAATACTTTGCATTGGTATGGATTTTCATTTATTGATACAACTTTAAAGTCAAGTTTATGATATGTATATGTCTCCTCTTGTTTAGGTATTGTGTTTATACAGATATTTTACCTATAATAGTCAGAACTTATAATTAGGTTAGTTAGGTTTTCTAGATATACAGAGATGTATTTTAGATGGATAGGTATTCTTCAAACCTTTCAAAGACCTACAGAAATATGGCATTTAAATGGCTTAGGGTTTTTCTTGGCAGTGAGACATAACTGCTCCTGGCATACCAATTACATCAGAAAGGAAGATGGGCATTGAAGAAACTCGTTATGGAGTTTGCTTTCAACATGGCAAGATTAGCCATTTAGGCAAGAAACTGCTCTTGCCTGGACTGTTTGTTGCTGTATTAACTGAACATGCAGGACCCACAAGAAAAATGACTGCTGAATGTATAAAACAAGACAGTACTGAAGGGTTCCTGTTGAATGGAGAAGTGTGCCAGACACACTGTGGCCTATAGGCTGAAGATGGATGCCCCAACGTTACAGAGGAACTTAGGATGACTGTTCAGTAGCCAGATGTCTCTGTCAATTCTAGAGTTTATATATTATCCTTCTCTGGTCTTTGATAGAGTTGAAGATAGTTATGGTTATAGTTTTCTTCAGTTATTATAAAAGATAAGTTATCCTTTTTATTTAGACAGAAAAGAGGAGATGATTCGGAATGTACTGTGTATGTTCATCTTACTGATTATTGAATAAAGTACTTGTTTGGCCAATGAGACAGGAAGTTAGACAGGACTAGGAGTCAATGAAGATTCTGGGAAATGTAGTAGAGAAGTGGTGATCCAGGCCGGAAGTGACATAGCAAGGAGACTCATATAAGCAAGGAGAAACAGGAAGTGTCCCCTTTCCCCTTTGCCTGCTCCAGTGGCACCATGTGAGCCACTGGCAAGAGAGGGTGCCAGTGGAAGGCATCCTCTATAAGATAAGTCTTATAAAATATATAGATTTATGATAATTAAGACTGAGCTAACAGATGAGAATCTTAGTCATTGGCCAAGCAGCATTTGAACCTAATACAAGTTTCTGTGTATTGATTGGGGCCTTAACTCAGGCAGGCGGCTGACATAAAGCACACATGTGGCAGTGGGGCTCGGCGGCTTTTGGCAGAAAGATTTATTGAAACATTTCACCTATTGTCTCTGTCCTTGCCCTCCCCCTCTGTCAACTGCCAAAACACACTCCAGAGAATAATGAAAGTACTGGAGACCAAACACCAATTCAACACTCAGTTATCCTGGGACATGTGAGATAGCCTATTGGCTCTCCTAACTTTCTGCTCTTACACAGACTAGAGCTCAGTACCCAGCACTCTTGTCAAGTAGCTCACAAATGTCTATAAATTCAGCTCCTATAGGAATCTGATGCTCTCTTCTGGCTTCTTCTGGCTTCATTTGGCTCTCTTGCACATATGTGCACACATATATACACACGCGTGTGTGCGCGCGCATGCGCGCGCGCACACACACACACACACACACACCAAGAAATTAAATAAATCTTTAAGAAATACTCAATTATTCTCCTTAATATGCTTAAGGACAAAATCTGGTATAAATTTCCTTAGACTGGAACATCGATTCACTGAAGTGCCTCATGGGCTAGAATGTGTTCAGAGAAATATTGATTAAGTAGTTTAAATTCATTCATACTTTCCAATCGAAGTGAGCAAAATAGTTTAAAGTCAGTATATTTTCCAGTATTTCCATTGCAACCAAAGTCTTCCTGGATTATCAATATGGAGGCAACAATCACAATAAACACAGCAAATCCAAAACAACCTACCATCCATCATGGGAAGACTGTCATACATTTGATGCTTCTGGCCAGGCCTGCAAGTATAGCAGGTCTGAACAACATTACCATTAGAAACTTACCCTTTTATTCTCTGATGTTAACTCAAGTCCACATTTCAAATATCAACTTGTCCAAAGTGATAGTATTTGTTAAATCCTGTATATGTATTATTATCCAGTTATTTTGTTTAATGAGATGTATCATTCATTAAAACGGTGATCCCACACACCAATAACAGAGGCAAAACATTTAGGGAAAATCTACTAAGCTGTATAAATCTTCAACCTTGTTTCTTTTGCATAGAAAAATTGATGGCCAGAAATGTGCATGAAGTTTGAAACCACAGATTAACGTGCAGTTAAATGTCAAGCTTGTTCATCATATACTGCAGTATATCAGTTATGTTTGAAAGATATTAACAAAGGCATCTGAAATGGTATGTTTAACTCAAAATATTCATTGCCTCATTGTCACTTGGGGAAATTAATGAGCCCTGAGTAAGTTATAATTTACACCAGAGGAAGGTATACAGAAGGCAGAGAAGAGATGCTGATGGGAGATGCCACTTGAACCCCACTTTCCAAACACAGAGCCTTTGTGGTTTCTAGAGTTAATAAGAGTTAAAAATAATCTCTCATCCCCAAGAAGCAATTGCTATTCACAAGAAAAGGGGCAAAATGTGACCCAGCATGACAATTCTAACATCATGTGTTCCACCATAGGAAAGCAGCACCATTTCCATTTGATTTACATTATATTTGAATTTTATCTCCTGTCTGTTCTGTCTGTATACCTTGTCACCTTCTGCAGTGAAGTTTCAAATCACCATCCTTCACAGCTAAGAGGTATTCAAAAGAGAAAGCCAATTAGAGTTTACTGTTCATGAAATATAATAATCACCAAAAATCCTAAAGCTAAGGATAGCAAGCTAGTAATTATATCAAAATATCACTATTTCCATGAATTCAGTCTCCCCAAACTTTATACACAAATGTAAAATTCTGTTGGGTTCTCAGATGCTCATGTCAGTGTCAATCTCATGACAACTAGGGATGAGCTCTTCCAATTATAAAATTGCATCGTGAAATGTTGTGGTTAACAGAATTACATGCAACGTCACTTAATCAAGTTCACAAAAATACAGTATATCAAATCATAGAAAAGAAAGCATGGATTCTAACCACTTTGTCCTCCTTTGGGAAAACATCCAGCGAGGCAGAGCAGGGAGAGAAGAGAGAAAGAAGAATGAGCCACAGATTAATTAAGTGATCTCTATAAACAAATGCATTTCTTCAAAGTGTTAAAACACATAAAGTACATGCTGGATGCAAGAACTGGACCCACTCTACTGAGTTTTACATTTTAGACTAGTTCTACATTTAAAGTATTCTTTGGTATCAGGCATCCTAATGAGTACCTGCAATCCTGGCATTTAGGAGGCTGGGGCAGAAAGATCCCAAAATTGGGACTGACCAATAAATAGCAAGATTGTTTAGAGACAAAGCAGTATCTCAAAAGCAAAAAACAAAGGAAATCTTCAGACAGAAAGGCTAATTCACCATATGCTGCCTCCTTATATTGAAAATAGTTTATTAAACACATAGAATGATACTAAAATTTTATTAAATTACAGTGAAAATTGTTAGCAATAAAATTTTAAAAATATATAATAATGAAAATTGTCATAGATTAAAAATGTGAGAAATTCAAGTATTTTAAGCATGACTTATTCTATAATAGTAAAAATAGTAATTATTTATATGTATTTCAATATTTTGTCATAAGAGACAACAGGTTTATACACTATTTTGTTCTTACATAGAAGACAAAATTTTAAACTGGTCCTCCTTTAGTTTTGTTTCTTTAAATATTTTTTTTCAAGTTGAGGTAATTTTAATATAAGAGGAATGAACTAAAACAGGCATTATCATCTGCTTCAAAGAATAAAGGCACTTCCTAGCTCAATTTTCTTTAAACAACCTAAATTTGACCCTAACAACTTCGATATACCAGCAGTCAACTGTGTGGCAGGTGGCATGCCTCAACCCTATAACAGGAATTTAACAGCTTCAGTAGCTGTGAGTACCCAGCCAGCACTAACCCCAGGCTGGTGTACACTAACTACCATTGCCAGCAACTTTCAGACTGTTAGGTATTGTAAACACCTCGATGACCCACCTGCAAAAATCCATCCCTACTTACAAAACTTACTTACTTACAAAAGTAAAAGTGGATGAGGGGTTAACAAATACATTTTGTGCACTCTATACACAAGACATTGGTTTAAATTCTTTTTATTTCACTCTCATAACAAGTATAAAAGACAAGCACTACTCTTTGTTTTATAGTTATGGACATGCTTATTTAGGGACAACATTGGTTGTACATTAAATTATAAAATGTGCTTACTATACTCAGTGTCTTAATTCCCCTGGAAGAGGGATGACCAACTAATTAACACATAGTCAACTGAGAAGTTTCTTCCCAATATTAATTGATTTTCTCTAATTAGAAGAATTTCAAGAGTGTTAAAGTTTTAATAGTCTAAAGTTTGTTTGCATTACATTCTGCACATGGTTTAGACAACATGATACTTGAACAAAATATTGGAAAAATTTTAAGACAGTGATCATAATTGTTCAATACTATACCACAGATCCCGACCACAAAAAAAATTCATTTGGATTTCTCTACAAATAATTCTACTGTACCAACACAAGCAATTTGAGAAGAGTATAACACTCAAATGTATTCTAGAGTAAATAATTGTTAGTATGGGTCTTGAATTTCACAAATTGTAATGTTTGGTTCTGCTATACTAGAATTTTTTTTAATTTAGAATCTTAAAGCACAAAATATTCATTCTAACTTAAAACTAGGATACAGCAAATTACCATGTTCTCTTTTTTGGGGGGGTGGGTTTCAAGACAGGGTTTCTCTGTGGCTTTGGAGCCTGTTCTGGAACTAGCGCTTGTAGACCAGGCTGGTCTGGAACTCACAGAGATTCGCCTGTTTCTTGCCTCCTGAGTGCTGGGATTAAATGGGTGTACCACCAATGCCTGGCCCATGTTCTCATTTCAGCAAAATTAGAAAATTTCTTCAGGTAGGAATACATCTCATAACCTTAGCATTTAAATCTGGCTTATTATATGTTCCTTAGATGCCCGAATACCTCTCATGAGATGAATGGGACACTAATCCTTTGGCTTGATAGTAAATCTGAAATTGCTATCAGGGGAGCTAATCAGTGCTTAATATATTATAGCTATTTTAAAGGATTCTATAATCCTTAGTCGTGCTAAGTTTACATTTATTTCAAAAAATGCTTTGGACAGGTATTCATTTGGCTTGAAGTGGGAATCATCTATAAAGCTCCCCACACGTAAACACTTATTCAGTGTTATGTTCATCTCTATTGTACTGTTTCTGCATCTCATAAAAACACAAAACATGGAAGGATGTATTCCTATGCATACTACACACATGCTTTAGTCTCAGATCATGTAAGTGTTTACATGCTTGAAATTGTGGTGGCTTTGTTCAGCTCTTGAGCAGCTCGTATGTTCACAGGACACTCACATTGTTCGATCGCAGGGACACACGACCTCCACAGCGTGCACAGAACTTGGTGCGACAATAGGAGCAAAGATGGCCACATCCATCAGCGAACTTTGTCTTATGGCAGATTCCACAAGTCGGGGCATCATCTTTGTGCTCGCCCTGGTAACGCCGCGCTTCCTCTCCAATTTTTCTCACTTGCTCCTTATAGCTTTCAAACTGTTGATGCAATCTCCTGGGCAAAAGAGACAAGAGAATAAACTAAGAAAGTGAAGGGAGACAGACCACTCAACAAGTATTTCTAAAAAAATAATAAAGTTGAGCTGTTTGAAGAAAAGCAGTGTATGCAAAACTATTTTCTCCACCAAACTGAAAGAATAACTATCCTGGTGTGCACATACACTGAACTTTCTTGATCTCAATCAAGAGCTCCTACTTTTACAACTCAGGTGTGCATCAACCACGGCTCCTAAGGCAAGCCCTTCCCTGTAAGAACATTTACAGTAAGATTCAAATCCCTCAACTCATCAGTTCAAGTCCTTCAATCTTAAATTGCTATAAACAGATCTACTGGAACAAAACTCCCCAACCTACAGTGAGTCTCTCAGATTAAGGATTTCTCCACACCGTAAATGAGAACAAAGAGTGTTGTACTAAGTCTAGTCTTGGGCCATCTCACCAGGAGGCAATCCTGGGAAATAGCTGATCAAATTCATCTGTGTGTCTGAGCTAGTGGGCTAGACATGAGTGCCCCTTAAACCACAGAATGCACATATGACATTGCTAATTCTGACAGTTAATGCTAAGCTGCACACAGGGTGACTGTGAGAGCTGCACTCCCCACACACAGAGGTGGTGAGCCAGGTCTGTGTTCAGTGGTGCATCTGACCTAGGATTTGGTTATGTTCTGTGTTTCTTCTTAACCTCTAACAGCTCTTGTGTAGAACTTGAATCATAACTTTTCTTTGGCAATTGGTACTTTTTCTATTTAATCCATACTTAAAGCAAATGTGTGTAAATTCCCATACAATGCAGTTGAGTATTATGTGGACACCATTCCAAATTGAAAACCAGATAATTTCACTTTATAAAGGAATATGTGTGGCATTTTACTTAATGAATGCACAGATATCTCATCAGTTCATTGATGGATTGCTACTATTTTATACTTTACCATGTGTATAAGTTCAAGTTAGTAGGAAACAACTAGGGATGACTACTGTCTCAAAAGATGTATACAAAATATCACTGGGTGTCTTATACCTTCTATTAAATGAAAAGATTTTGGGGCAGTGACGAAGAGAAATAACCCCAATCAAATACACAGAAACAAACTGAGAGCATAAAGAGAATCAAGAATAAACACTTATGTAGCCCCTAAGTCAGATCTTTACTGTTGGGACCACTAATGAATGAAAAATGAAGAGTTTTCTTATAAATTCATTCTGTAATATAGAGTATGATTTAGTGTGGTTGTCGGTAAACTTTTCAGTAAAGGTCAGATAGTAAATATTATAGGCTTTATGAGCCATATAGTATTTGTTGTAACTGCCCGTGCCCACTGTTCTGACAGGAATGTAGCCATAGATAGAATGTAAATGAATGAGTGTGAATACATCCTAATATAACTTTTATTTATAAAAAGAGACAGCAGGCTACAGTTTGCTAATGGGCCAGTCTGTCAATTCTTCATTTAGAATTTGTTTCAATATAAGACATAATGGTTTCCAAACCAAATCCTTTTGGCATTTTAAATTTTAAACATGGGAATTCTATACATTTTATTAGGACCAATCCAAAGGACCTCTATTCAGGATTTTAGCCTTTGGCTCTGTTTTTAGTATATGTATGTGTGGTTCTTGAGACTGAACCCAGGGTCTTGCACATGCTAAGCACACACTCTAAAACTGAAACACACATCCAGCCCTGGAAGGAAATTTTTGTATAACATGTCACCTATGAAGCTCTGGCCACTTAAATAACACCCTTTTCTACAGCAAAATTGTGGAGTTCCATATGAGCATGCACAAGTCAGTTCATACTTATTAATAATGCATCAATCTATCTATACATGATACCTGTCTTCAACCAAATAGTAAATATAAGACGTGTACAATTCGGCAAATAATGAGAACATATACCTTCTTGATAATAGCCAATATACATCTTATATATGTGTGCATACATAATTAAATATAGTTACAATTTTCATAGTCCATTCTGAGATGAAACACATGTAATTTACAAATGATTTTATAGTCAAGACAAAATATCTGAAAAAAACAAATCCATACATACTCCCATAAAATCATAAAAGTATGGGGAAAATGTTTTTAACATAACTTGAAATGTATGTTGTAGCAGGAAATAAAGAATGCAAAATACACAAAGAATAAAATTAAATAGGAACAGTATTTGACAAGGTAATGTAATTCTGATGCAGACATCTGTCTAGAACAGGCACTGCATCTCTGTGATCAACAACTTCATTTTTAATTGTTATACAATGACAGTAAATGCTTTAGTTAGGCAGCCAATAGATACCCTTGAAATAAAATGTATGATAGCCAACTCAGTGATGGAAAAATATGAAATTTGAAAAAGTCAATACAAAAGATGTAATTTAAAAAGGAAAACATGAAACTACAGAGAAATAATGGTTAGTAACAGTGCAGGAGATGAGAGACAGAGAATGAACTCGTTAAGAATCATAAGTAGAATTCAGTGTAGCATGAATATCAGACAAAGATGTCCATGTCAGAGTTGTTAAAATTCTAGTTAAATGAGGCTTAGAACAGATAGACTCAAGATAAACTCAAACATAGCATGACTTGTGATTTCTAATGAGGTGGGTTATTTCCATTAAACATTAACACAGACAGTTTTTTTTTTAATTTTCTGAGACAGGATTTCTCTGTGTAGCTTTGTAGACCAGTCTGGCCTCCAATTCACAGAGATCTGCCTGCCTCTGCCTTCTGAGTTCTGGGATTAAAGGCATGCACCACCACGGCCTGGCTCAGACAGAATGTTTGAAAAAACATATTTCAAGGAAAGAGTAATAATGCAAAAGAAATTTGAATAGATAAAATACGGTATATTATTTAACTCAAAAAACCTTACTAAGGCAGGCCAAGGGGTTCACATCTATACCTGCTGCTCTTTGAAGGCTGAAGCATGAAAACCCAGTTTTTGGTCAGTCTCTGTTATAAGGCAAGACCTTGTCTCAAAACAGCCACACACACACACACACACACACACACACACACACACACACACCTAATGACAATAAAAATAAACTACTATCTAAAAGTATGAATTTAATGTTTTACATGACAATTTCGAGCTTAATAGCTGATAAACACATTCAGCAATGTGGCAGGATACAAGATTAACTAAAAAAAAAATCAGTACCCCTATTATATACAGATGATAAGAGGGCTGAGAAAGAAATCAAAGAAACATCACCCTTTACAATAGCCACAAACAACATTAAGTATCTTAGGGTAACACTAACCAAACAAGTGAAAGACCTGTGCAGCAAGAACTTTGAGTCTTTAAAAAAAAGAAATTAAAGAAGATACCAGAAAATGGAAAGATCTCCCATGCTCTAGGATAGGTAGGATCAGCATAGTAAAAATGGCAATCTTGCCAAAAGCAATCTACAGATTCAATGCAATCCCCATCAAAACCCAAACACAATTCTTCACAGACCTTGAAAGAACAGTATTCAACTTTATATGGAAAAACAAAAAACCCAGGATAGCCAAAACAACCCTGTACAATAGAGGAACTTCTGGAGGCATCACTATCCCTGACTTCAAGCTCTACTATAGAGCTATAGTCCTGAAAACAGCTTGGTATCAGCATAAAAATAGACAGGTAGACCAATGGAATTGAATGAAAACACCTGATCTTAACCCACATACTTACGAACACCTGATTTTTAACAAGAAGCGAAAGTTATACAATGGAATAAAGAAAGCATCTACAACAAATGGTGCTAACATAACTGGATGCTGGCATGTAGAAGACTTCAGATAGACCCATGTCTATCGCCATGCACAAAACTTAAGTGCAAATGGATGAAAGACCTCAACATAAACCCAGCTTCACTGAACCTCTTAGAAGAGAAAGTGGGAAGTACCCTTGAATGAATTGGTACAGGATATCACTTCATGAACATAACTCCCCTAGCACAGACACTGAAATCGGCAACTAATAAATGGGACCTCCTGAAACTGAGAAGCTTCTGTAAGGCAAAGGACACAATCAGCAACACAAAATGCCAGCCCACAGAATGGGAAAAGATATTCAGCAACCCCATATTCGACAGAGGGCTGATCTCCAAAATTTACAAAGAAGCTAGTTTCCAAAACACCAACTAATCCAATTAAAAAGTGGGGTACAGAACTAAACAGAATTCTCAATAGAAAAATCTAAACTGGTTGAAAGACACATGAGAAACTACACAACATCCTTAGCCATCAGGGAAATGCAAATCAAAACAACTCTGAGATAACATCTTACACCCCTTAGAATGGCTAAAATCAAAAACACCAATGATAACTCATGCTGGAGAGGATGTGGAGAAAGGGGAATGATTCTCCATTGCTGGTGGGAGTGCAAACTTGTACAGCCCCTTTGAAAAACAGTATGGTGCTTTCTCAGGAAAGTGGGAACCAATCTACTTCAAGATCCAGCAATTCCACTCTTAGGCATATACCCAAAAGAATCATATTCATACAACAAGGACATCTGTTCAACTATGTTCATAGGGAAACTATTTGTAGTGGAAGCAACCTAGATGCCCCTCAACTGAAGAGTGGATACAGAAAATGTGGTACATTTACACAATGGGTCACAAGTCAGCAAAAAAAAAAAAAAAAACAGAATCTTGAAATTTGCAGGTAAATGGATGGAACTAGAAGAAAACAAACTGAGCAAGGTAACCGAGTCCCAAAAAGACAAACTTGGTATGTTCTCACTCATATATGGATTTTACATATAGAGCAAAGGATTACCAGCCTACAATCCAAACCACTAGAGCAGTTAGGCAACAAGGAGTACTCTAAGAGAGACATACATGGTCCCCTGTTGAAGGGGAAAGGGGCAAGATCTCCTGAGAAAATTGGGAGCATGGGGGGGTAGAAGGAGCTAGGAGAATGAGAAGGGGAGAAGAGGAGGGGTGAGGAGGACATAAGGGAGCAGGAAGACTGTGTAGGAGGAAGAATAGAG